AAAGTGTTGAAATAAGATCATCGAAAAATAAATATTTTACTTTTATATAAACATATGCAGGATCTGATAAAAATTGTGCAAACGCTATAGTAAGCGAGTAGAGCACAGTAATCTAAACAGAAACATCCTTGTCATTTTCGCAATAATTATTAAAATATTAATTTAAAAAATCGATGAATGAGCGCACAGTTATACTGATTGTTCACTGAGAGAACTGGCTCGGGCTCGAATAAAAACTCATCCGTTTCATGCAATTACAGGCACATGCAGGTACAAATTATGGTATAATATAACTCTAATCTACACAACATGTATATCTCAAATATGTTTCTGAAATGTCTTAGTGATGTTTTTTTTTTAAATAACATTTTAAATATACTGTTTTCTCACTTAGTTTGCACACAGGATTCATTACGGGACCAACATAGCGGTCAGCCTATCAGTAAGCGAGACACCGATATGTCTACAATGTACGTCCTATGCTCTAAACACGCTCATTACTTTTTAATTAATTTCAATAATTATTGTAAAAATTGCAAAATGGTAAAAGACTTTTCTGTTCAGTTTACTATGCTCTACCTGCTCACGAATATTGGCATAATCTTAACCAGACAACCTATATACAGACCCAATCAGAAATAATATCGAATTGACGTCGATTCGACGACGAATTGACGTCGATCCATCGTTGAATCAACATCGATTAGATAAATCGATGTCGAATCGACATCAATTCGATGTCAATTTGATCATTCATTTCTGGCTGGGGAGTGTCCAGCGTAATTCCTGCATCAGCTATCATATGCAGATAGAATGGAACCGAGTAAAAAATTCTTTTTGGATCTTTCTGTTAATTTTCACAATAATTATTTTTATAAAATAATTGAAAAAGATCGACCAATTCGTGCGAGTAGAAGCGCGTAGCAAAAACAGCCCAACTCGGGAATCCAATGTTATCCGCTGCTTATACACATAGTTATTTTTTATACAGTTTTCCTTCACTACTTCGGCGGAAATCTCTTCTCGCCTCGCATTTCTACTCGCGCGGATTAGCCGATCTTTTTTAATTATTTTCTTCATAAATATTGTGAAAATTACAAAACAATAAAGGACTTTCCCATTCTATTTTACTCTACACACGACGACTATTGCGGGGATTACTGGACGCTGTATATATAAAAGTAAAACATACACATTAAAAAGTTTTTGCATTCTAAATCGAAAAAGATAACGACTGACTTCACTTCCTCTCTCATACGCCTCATCCAGTTATTCCTAAATCTGATCTGACCTTATAGGCCCATAGTACACAAAAAATGTAAGCAATAAGACATAAGTAATGAAAGTCTATATATCTGGACAAATTTGTATAGATGTATAGTTATTGAAATATATACTAACTAGAATGAGCACTGTTATGCAAAAATATGTAAGCGAACAGCACGAGAGAGAAGTCCCAAGTTCCTTGCTTATCCTTCTTTAGCTCACAGTGTGGTCAAGAGTGGAGAAGATGACATACCATGATGAGAAGACCGAGTACAAAGTATTAAATAAGGACAGAATGCTGTTCGAAACCCTTTGGCATGCTCTTTCTCGTTACAGTTAGTATATATTTCAGTAGCGTTTGCATCCTTTACTTGCATCTATTTCCGAATTTGTCCCCCACTTTCCAGTAACGTACACAGACAAATCGAATAACACAGTATACGACCTAATGCTTTCAAATTACGACACAAGATAACACAATTGTACACAAATAAAATGTTGTATTTGACTGTCATCATTTGTGTTACTCTATAAATAAATATTTGTACATTTGATATTATTTTTTTATATAGAATGATATTCCGGTAGGAAGTAAATTTTACAAAATAGTTTAAATTTAAAAACGTATAACTTTGAAAAAATTATGTAAAGTAACTGTTCTGCACTTTGGCAGTGAAGTAAAAAAGCTAGTAAGTTGCGTTTATGGAAAAGCATCTAGTATGGATTACAGTGCTTTTCAATTATAAGTTGATACAGCCTGCGTTCGCTTTTTTTTACTGCCAATACTGGAAATTTATAGTTGACGTTACATATATTATAAATTTTCAGTACTACCAGTAAAAAACAAATGCAGACACAATTATATACAGCTGAAATGCTGTGTTCGACTATGTTATTATTTTTCATTCCGTAGATATCAATATTTTTATGTTTAGTACTATTTTTTCTATTAGTATTCCGGTAAAAAATAAGCTTTTAGAAAAACTTAAAGAAATAAAAAACTTAACTTAAAAAGGCTCTTACAGCCGATATATTTTACATACTTATAATTATGTGTTGAACTTAAAAGTTAATAAAACTTTAAAAAAGCTATGTAAAATGACTATTCCATACTCTGGTGATGAAGTAAAAAGTTCACTGATCAGTATTTGATATGAGTATCAAATGATCTTTCTTCTTTTTCTTTTTGGCTGCTTGAGCTATAGGGATTGCTCATACGCCATTAATTGACGGATTGAATTTAAGTCTCAGATCCCAAATCTGAATCTGAAGGATTTCCAAAAAAATATATTTCACACGCAAAAAAATGGCAATGAAAGAAAGACGAAATACGTCCACTCACGTCGCCAAAGGACGCTAACGGACTGTATCAAATGATCATGTAAAACTATTGTGCAATATTGTGTCGCAATGTATGACTGTGTGTTTCATTGCTGGAAATTGGAAAATTAAGATCCTTTCTTCACTACTAGAATTTCAGGACCTATATGTAAGACCATGTTATTACTTATATGTGTTGATACTCATTGTCAGTTCCTCTTAAGTTGAAATGTTATTTTTGTTGCCTGTGTTATTCCTTATTTCTGTTGCTTATACTTTTGTATTGTGTGAAAAATTAATATAAGTCGACACGTTTTGCATACAAAAACTTTAGGCTGGATTTTCACTTAATGTAGTAATGCTGAATTTTAACATCAGAAGCCGTTGCATAACCAAAATAAAGATAACAATTCGTCAATCTTAATCATGTGATGTTTTCTGACGCTGAAATCTATCCAAGTAGCAGACTGATGTCATTAAACGTCAAAATGACGTCATTAAACGTAAAAATAACGACGTCAAAATGTCATTTTGACATTTAATGACGTCAATCTGTTACCTGGATAACGTCATAACGTCAAATAAAAATACAGAACTTTGTGCCAGGGAATTTTTTACAGGAAAACATAAATAGACACAATGTTCATGCAATTAGCTATCAAATATTGTAAGGGTTCCCGAAAATTTGAAGACCAAAATATAAAGCATATATATAGATATGTGATTGATAAGTAGGATTGAGGGGGTTGAGAATCCGATGCGCTCTCTTTCGAGAGAGGGGGATAAGAGAATCGAGGCCTCGAGGTAACGCAGTGTTCGAGAGAGCGAGCGTTAGAGGCGTCCCCGGGAAAATACAAATACATATAGTATTACTGGTGGTCGATGCCTTCACTAAATACGTTTGGTTGTCTTCAACTAAGACTACGAATACAAAAGAAGTCGAAAAACACCTAGTTTTCCTGTTTAGTATTTTTAGAATGCCGCGACGTATCATTAGCGATAGAGGCAGCAGCTTTACTTCACGAGATTACGATAATTTAACGTCCAGATTTAACGTAAAACATGTAAAAGTAGCAGTTGCGTCTCCCTGGGCGAACGGACAGGTTGAGAGAGTAAATCGCCTTTTAAAAAGTATATTAGCTAAAACGACTGATAATGCCGACGAGTGGGAAGCGAAATTAAAAGACGTCCAATACGTATTAAATAATACACACCACAAGCCTGTAAACACTTCTCCGAGTATTTAGGATATAGTCAGCGAAATCATAGCGACAGGGACCTGTGCGAAATTATTGATACACTAACAAAAATTGATACCGATCTAGTAGAAAAGCGAGCGGCGATGCGAGACAATGCGAAATTAGCAATCAAGCGATCCAGGAATACAATAAATCATACTATGATAAGCGACACAAAAAACCGTCGTTGTATAACGTGGGCGATCTCGTGATGATTAGGAGATTGACAGTTAAAACAGGGACGAACTCGAAGTTGCTCCCAAAATATAAAGATCCTTACGAAATTAAAGCCGTGCTAAAGAAAAATCGGTACGTGGTAGCCGACAAAAAGGGGTATAATAGAATTCAGAAACCGTATAATGCAATATTGTCTGCGGATAAATTAAAACTGTGGATCCGAATAGGTGATTGCCCTGAGCCGACAGAAACGAACGAAAACGAAGACGAGGACAATAATAAAGACGAGGATAGTGATAAGAATAACAAGGAGAATTCTGACACGTGAATGTAAATACCGAAGTTATTGTAAATCCCGATTTATTGTGTGGTTACAAGGAATAATTATAAGTATACTTTATTTGTTTTCTTTTTGAAAATATATATATATATATATATATATATATATATATATCTAAATCGTATTTGTATCGATATGTATGCGAGCGTTGTTCAGGGTCGAACACGAGATCAGGCTGGCCGAACTGTAAGGATTTCCGAAAATTTGAAGACCAAAATACAAAGCATATAGATACGTGATTGATAAGTAGGATTGAGGGGATGAGAATCCGTGAATTAGGCGATGCGCTCCCTTTCGAGAGAGGGGGATAAGAGAATCGAGGCCTCGAGGTAACGCAGTGTTCGAGAGAGCGAGCGTTCTGTTGAGAGTGTCGACCAAGTCGGGTCACAGTTAATAAAGCGAGAAAATTTCTGAGAAAGGTCAAGTCGGACCATCGGAGATCCTTGAGCTGAGTTTACTCCAACGCCGTATCAAAGCCATTTGTCTGTTAAGCTAAATATATTACTTTGCATTTCAAACACGAGAAAACTGATTAGCAACCAGATCATATCCCGGACAAGACCATCCTTACAATATAAAATTTTGTAAACCCTCAAATTGTTCTATTTGATAAACAATCGTATGACATTATGTATTTATGTGTTTCTTGCTGGAAAAATGCATAAGGCTGGAATCTACAATAAATGTAGTAAACCTTAAGCAGTAAGAAATTAAGTAAGAAATTAATCAATTATATTCGATTATTCTTCTCATATTTAACTATGATTGATTAATTCTTTTTACAATAGATTGCAAATGCCTCGTTGCTAGTTGACAGTTGCGGGTTAATCAATCAGATCAAATTTTCCATTCTGATGAAATGCAGTGCCACGATGGAAATAGATGATGCAACGTGCAGCTGCGCATGCGCAGTTATTTTCACGTGGGACAAAATATACTTGTCCCATTCTAACTTATTGCACCAGTGTGCACTAGTTCATTAATGCAGGAGCAGAAAACCAGCCTAATATGGAGTTTGTTTTTTATTACTGCACTGGTGAACTAGTGCAATAAATTAAAATGAGACAAGTATATTTGGTTATAGAATGACTCGCACTGTGAAGAAGGTCCGTAAAATTTTCCAAAAACTTTCCACGTTGCAGAAAGACAAAAATTAAGAAGACTGTATTCGTGAAGGTCAGATTCTGCTACTATTATTATTGATATATAGCGAAACTGAGATAAGGATTATATTTACACGGCTCAATTTAAGCCAAAGTTACAATATCGATGTTAGAACTATTGACGTTAGATGCCGTGTAAATCTCCTTTTTCTGACGAAATTATTACATCAATGTAGTAACTCAAAGTCGTTTGGTGAACAGGCGTAGGGTTACTACATCGGTGTAAAAAGGTCGCATTGGTGTAAATGGTTGCTTTTACATTCAGATCACAATCTTATTACAAACAAGCATCTAATTTTTTGTACTTTTATATTAGTGCTAAAGGAAATCCTTGACTCATTCGAAAATTATTGGCTATTCAGCTTGATGGGAATAAGATAAGCCTGAATGTGTAAACGCAACTCATTTTAAGTAGGAGTTATAACATCAGTGTTACTAAGCCAAAGTTACAAGCCATGTAAACGTATTCAATGTTGTTTCTTTTCATAACAAAGAACTTAAATGCACAATTGTAGTATTGCGCATTAAAATGGCAATCTAGCAAAGAAAAGATATTGTGTAAAAACTCGTTTCAATGTATTATTAATCCCATCCTCTTTAAATCGCTATAATTGTAACACTTGAGCATTTTGTTTTACTGAAAATGCAATTATTGTCTCTTTTAGTGCAATCAAAACGTCTTATGTCTGATATGGACATTACATTCCAGTTTACTATAGCATATGTAAATAAATTAAATGTTTCCGGATCCTTTGAAACTCAAAGACAATGTTTAAAATAATTAAGAAAGTAAGATGCTTTCCTTATTTAATTATGCAATTAGTGTAAAGAATGAAAAAGAAAAGTGATCACTTCAAACTCTCACTTTTTCCCTTATATTGCCTTATAACATTACTAAATTTTTAATGTGGTTTGTTATCATACATGTGCAAATAAAAAACAGAATGACCCAAAAAGATTATCTCTCTTTTAGATCATTTTCTCCAACTGAATTTAATATAACGTACTGTACAGCTCTCAATATTGAATAACTTGAAATAAAATTGGCTGTAAGAGCCCAACACGGATGTTTGTGTGTGAAGATTGTGAAAATTTAATTTTTTGCTGTCTTGTAAATGTGCACGAGACACGTAAATTTAATATAATTTAAAAATAATTTTTTATATTATAATTAGTACAGAGAAAAGAATTCAAGGGAATCTTAAAGGATATTTCTGTTCTTTAAACGCATATGTATTGAAAGCTTTGTATGTGTCTTGTTAAAAAGTCAGAATTCACTTTAATTAAGCAATTTATGTCTTTGTAGAATGTCAGTTTTCTTACTAATTTGTATTGAGAGAGACAAAGATATTCCATTGTCGCTATCTCCTTCCAATCAAATTTGGTGCATCAGAACTTTTTCCAATTTCTATTAAAAATTCAGTGTATTTGTCATATAATTAGATTTTTGTTTAGATATGCGGATTGGTTGCTAGCACATATGCAGTTATGCATGCATCAATATTTTGTCATAAGCTAAGATGTATTAATGCCTCAACACTATTAGAATTTTTTAATTTTTTACTTGATCTAAATATCAATGCATCATACCGAATTATTCATGTGCATATTAAATAATTTAAAACTACATTTTTATTAATTAACGTAACATATGTGTATATATATATATATATATATATATATATATATATATATATATATACATATATATATATATATAACGTTTCATGAATTACTTTAGCTTCTAATCTTACGTTTAACTTTTTGGACATATAATACTTACAAATTTCAAAAACTGATTTTTAAGTCAGTTAATATTAATTCAGAAGAATATTTTGACACATTTTGCCCGACCATAAATAAAATCTTAGATATAAAGATTGCTAAGGCATTAATAAAATATATGTATATACATATACACATATGGGGCATTATTTATGAAGTGATCCACCGAAATTTTCAAAGTTTTTCAATAGCGCTGAAATTTGCAGAAAGTGTAATCCTATCAAAAGTAAAATTATTCCTCAAGTTGTTTGGCCCACACCATACAGGCTCTGTGTAACAGAGACTTGAATTTTTATCATTTTGGCCATTACGTCCAACTTCAAACGTTGATAAATTTCAGAAGACTACTCTGATTTTAAAAAATAAGATGTGATTTCGAAAGACCTTTTTACGTGCTTTAATCTTGTAAAATTAGTGTTTTATTTCATTAACAATTTGTATAAAATTTTCAAAAACAAAGTAAAAATCAATTTTTTGCAAATTTAGACATCTTCGATTTTCTTAAAAAAAATCTTTGAAAAAGTTAAATATATGATATGCTATACGTATATATATGATATACTTAATATATGTATATATATATATATATGATATACTTAAATATATGAGATACATATATATATATATATATATATATATATATATATATAATATATGAGAAGTCACCACGCTTGACCACAAGCAATAGAACTGGCCAGATCTTCTGTATTTGTAACAGCGTCCGAATTGCATCATGGGTGACACGCTTGGTTCTAAATGGACTATATCTTGAAAACTAAAAGCCTGCCCATCTTGGCCTTGGAAGCGTTTTAAAGGAGAAGATTTCTACTTTTTTTAAAGATTTTTTTGAAGAAAATCGAAGATGTCTAAATTTGAAAAAAATTGATTTTTACTTTGTTTTTTGAAAATTTTATACAAATTGTTAATAAAAAAAAACTAATTTTAAAAGATTAAAGTACGTAAAAAGACCTTTCGAAATCACACCTTATTTTTTAAAATCGGAGTATTCTTCTGAAATTTATCAACGTTTGAAGTTGGACATAACGGCTAAAATGATAAAAATTCAAGTCCTCGTTAACACAGAGCCTGTATGGTGTGAGCCAAACAACTTGAGGAATAATTTTACTTTTGATAGGACTACACTTTCTGCAAATTTCAGCATAATTGGAAAACTTTGAAAATTTCGGTGGATCACTTCATAAATAATGCCCCATATATGTATGTATACTATATGTACATATATACAAAATATAGTATGTGTATATTAATGTTTTTTCTTTACTTTTGATATTTTTGAGTCAGACGAATGACGTATAGATATTCACATATCATGAATATTAGCACTAAGAATTAGCAACGTTATCACTAAATAGAAAACAAAACAAAATTATATTACATTCTGTTAGTCCTATATTAAATCTTAATGGGTCAGACACCTATCAAACTATATATATATATATATATATATATACAGGGTAGGCCATTTTAATCTTTCCACTAAAATTTCTCAAAATCCAAAAATTTAAGACAAAAATGTTTCAGATAAAAGTTGTATGGTTTCAAGGGGGACATGAGATGGTGTCATTGATTTGACCTTGAATAGCCATTTGAAGGTTACGTGAAGGTCAACTTCAATTTCTTAAATGGAACACTATATTTTTTCTTGCATACTTTTGTAGCTGACTTCGAGATCTTTCCAAAACACTACAATAAAATATTTTTTCATGAAGTATTTTTCGAGTTATTAAGGCTGCAAATTTGCAGTATTTTGACATAAAATACAAAATATCTTGGGAAATATTCATTTTTCGATTATCATACCTTAATACTTTTATGCACAGAATAATGAGATAAATCAGTTGATGTAAAGAAAACACATAGTTACCTTTAAAAAAAAATATGAAAATTGCAATAAGCAGTTAGATAATTTTTCTTTAAGACAACTATGTGTTTTCTTTACACCAATTGATTCGTTTCATTATTCTGTGCATAAAAGTATTAAGGTATGATAATCGAAAAATGAATATTTCCCAAGATATTTTGTATTTTATGTCAAAATACTGCAAATTTGCAGCCTTAATAACTCGAAAAATACTTCATGAAAAAATATTTTATTGTAGTGTTTTGGAAAGATCTCGAAGTCAGCTACAAAAGTATGCAAGAAAAAATATAGTGTTCCATTTAAGAAATTGAAGTTGACCTTTACGTAACCTTCAAATGGCTATTCAAGGTCAAATCAATGACACCATCTCATGTCCCCCTTGAAACCATACAACTTTTATCTGAAACATTTTTGTCTTAAATTTTTGGATTTTGAGAAATTTTAGTGGAAAGATTAAAATGGCCTACCCTGTATATATATATATATACATACATGCATTATCAATTTGGTGATTATCTTCAGAGCTAACACACATGACGCAAATGTCTAAACTTGATGCGTCTAACTCAAGAATCAAGTCAAAGACATACGATCTTCACTCTACATGTATAATATACCTTCTTTGCAATCGAGAAGCTAACTTTAGTCATTATGACAGTAGTATTTACTACTCAAAGTAGTATTATTACTACAATATTTTAAATATCGGATAGAAAGTCGTCAAATGTATATGGCAAGGTGGAGTATAATAAAATGTGTGTCTAAAAGAGCAAAATTGTTATATACATACATGCAATATATATATACATACATGCATTATCAATTTGGTGATTATCTTCAGAGCTAACACACATGATGCAAATGTCTAAACTTGATGCGTCTAACTCAAGAATCAAGTCAAAGACATACGATCTTCACTCTACATGTATAATATACCTTCTTTGCAATCGAGAAGCTAACTTTAGTCATTATGACAGTAGTATTTACTACTCAAAGTAGTATTATTACTACAATATTTTAAATATCGGATAGAAAGTCGTCAAATGTATATGGCAAGGTGGAGTATAATAAAATGTGTGTCTAAAAGAGCAAAATTGTTATGGACGTGGTAAATCATGTCAAGCTATAAAAATGTCGAACGGAGAAAATGATGAACGGTAGATAGAAGTATTCAAACGGCAAAATAATATAGGCAGCAATAAAGTGCTCACATATATAAATCGTATATAAGCTTAGCCTAATGTCATACGTAAACAGGACCTTGATTATCGTTGTCGTCCAAACTGATTCGACTAGGATACGCAGGACCACCGCCGTCGTCGAAAAAACGTCTGAATGTGAACTCGAAGAAGCCGTGAAATGGCTTGCCATTGTCCAGCAATTCATCCGATTTGTTTGAATCCGACGATTCTGAGTTGCGTAACTTTTCGGGATCGACGGGATCGAAGTTACTCGTGTCGGTCGGATATTCTATACGAGGTATATGCGGGGCCATTTGGCGTCGTAATCCCTTCTCGAAGTCGATACTCGCGAAGAACGGATGATTTTTCACCTCGTTTGCGTTTTTGCCCAAGCGACGATCCGCGTCGGCACAAAGTTTCAGTATTAAGTCCGTACTTTCTTGCGACAGATTGGCTTGTTTCGGTATATGAAGCGTCGTTTCCCAATTAATCACCTGCGGAAGTGAAAAAGAAAGTTTTTAAAAATATTAAAGGGCAATATAGGTAGGGGACTGTGACAAAAGCTAAGTAAATCCGCGAGTAAAAGTAAAAGATTCTTAAATATTTTATTTGGGTTTTATTTAAGAAATATATTTATAGACATTTTTTTGAAATGTTATATGTGTGTTTTTTTATTAATGACTTATAAAATTAGAATAAATTTTGAAACAATACACACACATACTGATTAGTTTAAAAATAATGAATACATAAAAGTCTATATTATAAAAAAGAAATACTATATATCTACATAATGAGTTTCTTTTAATTTATCAAAAATTATAAATGTGTTACTATATAGTACGGGAGCCCACGACCAAAACCATGTCATCGCTTTCCGTTTAAAATCATGTAAAATTAATAAATTAGAGGACCCTAGACTGGACTAGGGGGTTTCGAACATTTGAGATCGGTACGTCTTTGGGAGGCGTCAGGTCTGCTATTGAAAAAAAAGAGGCGCGACAAATTTATTACAATACGTCTGATATTGAAAAGATGAATTGATTTGAGTATATTATATTATTGATGAATTTATCAACATCAGACACTTAAGGCGTTCCGTTTTTCTGCTATAATAAAGCGAACTTGTATATGAATCGGACTTGATGAATTTATAGCTTTTCGCTTGAAATTTGTATAGAGCATACCTTTTCACTACCTAGAATACGAAATCAGTGTTTTTCTGATACTTTGAGCGTTCCCCACAAGAGAAAAATGTACCAGATTCGCTCGGCGCCCCACCCCCTTTTTAATATTTGTTACGCTTTTCCCAGCGTTACCGAATCTCCTATTCTCGTAGACGAAATATTTCCATTTTGATAATTTTTTCTGTATATTAATATAACAGTTAATTTTCTTATAGCATTTGTTTATTCAAGAAAATATATATTTTTTTATACAGAATCAATTTCTGTAGATTTCATTATTTGTAAGTATTAACTTAATGATTATTCAATTCAACTTGTTGGAAATATCAATTTGCAAGTGTCTATAAAGTTGGCACATTTTACGAATTTCAAAAAAATACTAAGCGTTCTAATAACACTTTTCATAGTTCTACAGTTTCTGATAAAAATCAAAAATAGTTTCGTATTTTTTATATTAAAATATCAAATTGAAAAAATGTGCTAATTTTGCGAATCCAGCATGACATCTTTTCTCTAAAGTACTAAAACGCATTGAATAATAAATTGTAAAATTAGTTATACATATGTGTGTGTACAATTTCCAATTAAAAAAAAATAAATTTTTCATATATTCACTACAGGACATAAAAGACGTTTTAGTTTCTCTTAAATATTAATTCTCGATAATACCACCGATAGTAAAAAGTTGTCCGATTAGCTACATGCAATACTCAATTTGTCTGATATTAATGTTTTTGACATTTGTGCATCTCATTTTATCATGTACCACTTTTCAGACATATTGTTATAACTTAAACGCCTTCAAAATCCCTACATTTTATATATGTAGTCAAAATTCACGGTCACGTGACATTCGTCTGAAAATATGTTTTTTGGCATCAACTGAGCCTAATTGACGTAATTAAATGATCTTCAGACAAATAGCAATAAATTCTTTTTAAATTATTCCTTTTTGCTGTTTCCTCAGTAAGTACAAGGAATGCGATTGCCGTTTGATATTCATATTTCCGTATCTCATCACTATAAATTAACTATATCTCAAGATCATCAGACAGGTTGTCATAAATTCGTTGGGTCCTATTTCTCAACAACTTTACACATGGCCTCAAAAAAAAAAAGAAACGCTCAAAGTGTCTGAAATTCATGTTTTTAAACTCAAGTTAGTCTAATTAACAAACCCATAAGAACATTTGCAGGAAGCGATAACTTAAAAATTTTGATCGTGGACTTCCGTACTACAAGAAATTTATTTTGATTAAAAAGAGCTTAAATCCATTTTCGGAAGAAAAATTCAAAGTTTTTACAAGTTTTACACTTGAATTCTTTTCAAGAAGGGATACATTTTTTCTAAATTAATACAATTGTCGCTCGTATATTGAAAACAAAGTGATAAATATAAGGCCAACTTATCGAGCTGAATATTCGAGATGTTCAGTCAACTACCATTTATTACATGTATAAATTATAAAACTACAGTCATTATATTAAAACTAACGCAAATTACAATCATTCTATAAACGTTTCGACCGCACGCGGTCTTCTTCAGTATAATTATTGAAATATAAATTCTTACAATTCACATAATATCGAAATTTAATTATAGTTATTCAGAATCAAGAGTTTTTGAGCAATTAACGCGTGTTTCAATCCGTCCTGTCCAACAATGTTCGCCTCGATATGATCCCTGATTTTGTTCAGATCTCGGATAGTTTCATCGTTAATATGCGAGAAATTAACCCGTTCCGTAGGCGCTGCGATTAATAAAAAATTACCGATCAACGTATGTCCAAATTATAATATGTATCCCCTACAATTGGTAGTATGCTTACCTATCATCGTTCTTCTTGACAATTTTGCTACTTATTAACAGTTATTAAGGATGACACATAACAAACCAACAATACAGAAAGACAGCTCATTTTAAACTCTACTTGATCGGAGAGCGTGCGTGTTTATATATGATCTAATATCTATGTTTTACTCGTTAATGTCCTATTTGTCCTATTATTATTTCTTGTTCGCTAATATATCCAAAATATCAAAATACGACTCGCTAAGTAACTCAGTATCTTTGTTTAAATTTAGTCCATTTTTTTGTTCCTTGATATGTAGCATCTCAGAAATGAGTCTTTTATAATAATTATTTTCGTTGTCCATGATCTTAACATTGTCCCAATTAAAAGTATGATGTTCATTTATTATGTGTTCAGAAATTACTGAATGTTTCGTTGAGTCCAATCTAATATTATTTTTATGTTCTTTCATTCGCGTCTGCAATTGCCTCTTTGTTTGGCCTACATAAGATGCATTACAATTATTGCAACTGATCTTATAAACCACATTCGAATTGCATGGATGTTTAGTTTTATCTTTCTGCGCTTTAATAATATTATCCAGTTTGTTGAGACATCTATACCCTACCATACAATTTTTATTTTTTACCGAGGAAACAATCATTTCTGAGATCCCATCTATATACGGAATGACAAAGAATTTTTTATTGACCGAGTCATTTCCTATACTTTTTGTTCTTTCTATGTTGGCCTGTCTCTCTATAATGCTCCCCTTAGATATGATGTGTTCTATCCGATGATTAATTTTGTTAAAAATCAGATCAAGAGGGTAACCATTGCTTCTGAGTATATTAATAATTAACTCCAAATTTCTATTAAAAAATAGTGGATGTGATAGCAATAGACATCTGTCTACAAGGTTATATATTATTCCAATTTTGTGGCATAATGGGTGGTTTGAATAAAATGATAACGTCCTTCCTGAGAAGGTTTCTTTTTGATACCAGTCTATATATATTTTGTTATTAATAATTTTAAGTGATAAATCTAAGAAATTCAAGCTATGGTTAACCTCTTGTTCGACCGTGAATTTAAGTCTTTCATGATAGTTGTTAAAATATTCACAATCTGAGTCATATTAGTCATAGAGGTGGCCACTATTATGTCATCCACATAACGAAAATAAAACAAACATTCCAAATTCAACGCTTTGAGAACTGTATCCTCAAGATATTAGATCATATATAAACACGCACGCTCTCCGATCAAGTAGAGTTAAAATGAGCTGTCTTTCTGTATTTTTGTTTGTTATGTGTTATCCCTTAATAACTGTTAATAAGTAGCAAATTGTCAAGAAGAACGATGATAGGTAAGCATACTACCAATTGTAGGGGATACATATTATAATTTGGACATACGTTGATCGGTAATTTTTTATTAATCGCAGCGCCTACGGAACGGGTTAATTTCTCGCATATTAACGATGAAACTATCCGAGATCTGAACAAAATCAGGGATCATATCGAGGCGAACATTGTTGGACAGGACGGATTGAAACACGCGTTAATTGCTCAAAAACTCTTGATTCTGAATAACTATAATTAAATTTCGATATTATGTGAATGTAAGAATTTATATTTCAATAATTATACTGAAGAAGACCGCGTGCGGTCGAAACGTTTATAGAATGATTGTAATTTGCGTTAGTTTTAATATAATGACTGTAGTTTTATAATTTATACATGTAATAAATGGTAGTTGACTGAACATCTCGAATATTCAGCTCGATAAGTTGGCCTTATATTTATCACTTACATTTTTTCTATTCAACAGATTTTTATTAACATTTGTATTTATGTTTCTTTTTTGGGTCGCTGATTGTAAATTTAAAGTCAAATTTCAACAAATTCAAATGAGACAGATTTGATATGACGAACAAATTGTATAAAAGATTTTGTTTCTATTCAAGTTAAACTTTTAATTTCTTGGGATGTTAATTACAAATCTAAATTCAAATTTCCAAAATTTAAAGTGGCGAACAATTATATGAAGGAAATTGTTTAGAAAAATTGTCCTCTCAATTCAGTTTTTGTAGATTTTTTGAATTGCTGATTATAAATCTAAAAAAATTCGAAAGCATTAAATAAAATTGCTTTTTATAATAAAAAAACACTTATTTTCATGCAATCAAAATTTTTCTCAAAATAAATATATAAAAATTTGCAATATATAAATTATATATTATAAACAATGAAATATATACTTAACATTTCTCTAAAGTTTCAGCTTTTAATTTTATTATATAATTTAGAAACAACCAATATAAAAAATGCTTATTTCAATGTTTTCATAAAAACAAATTTTTTTTCAACAATAAATATATAAAAAATTTTTTTAATAAATAATATATTGTACAATCAAATATTCTTAACATTTCTTTAAATTTTTAACTTTCTGACTTTATTAATTTACAAGCAGCTTTTCTTGGATAAAAATCGCATTTTTTCATCTTTT